CTGGAAAGGCCACAAGCTGGCTGTCCTGCAGGGACCCACCCATTTGATGCAGCTCTGGAACATCAGCAAAGTCAGTCCTGGCTTTTGCGCTGGCGCCACGTACGTGGCAGGTGGCCCTGCTTCACATGGAAGCATGCTCCCATCTCTCTTTTAGACTCCACAGCCACAGTAAGAAGGACATCTGTCAGAAAAAAGTGGAGAAATCTCTGTCCTAATGCTGTAGCAATTCACAGATGCTTTCCATTGTAGCAGGGCATTGTAGAGCATAAATATGTACCGCAGCAGCTGGAGGAACAGGGCGCAGGTTGGGGGCCAGGCCCTACAATGCTTTTGTCCTCAGCGCTGGAGCCAGCAACAGGTGAAAGGACCAAAATTATGGTGTAGCATTAGTATTTGATTGATAATAAATGCTCTGTTTGGCAACTGTGAATTTCAAAGCACTTAACAAAGAGGATGGTATCATCGTCTGCATTTCACTGATGGGATAAACACATAGTCAGGAAAAGGTACCTGCTCACGCAGCAGGGTAACAGCAGAGCAGTGACAAAACCCTTGGCATTTCTGAATCATCTTTTTTTTTTCTGACCATGCCTATGCTCCCAGGCATCCAAAACATGGATAGTTGGTGGCAGTTGATGGTTGCTACAGTTACTTGGCTGCAGGGGAGTGCAAACTGCCATGGAAAACTTAATTGTTGCATGTGCAACCCTCTCCTCCCATCCAGCAAATTCTCTGTCCCCAACCACAGAAAAAAGCAGAGAGGAAGGTGCAGGTGTGGTTATGGGAAGGGACTTCTGAAAGATGTATCTATATTTTTTTAATCTACATGTTTTTATAGATGTAAAATATGTGTGTATCTAAATATAAGCACGTGTGCGTGTGTATGTCACACACAATGCTATGTTCTGAGCCCTGGTAGAATGACCTGGTGGAGTCTCCTTCTCTGGAGATATTCAAAGCCCGCCTGGATGATGTCCTGTGTAACATGCTCTAGGTGAACCTGCAGGAGGGTTGGACTAGATGATCTCCTGAGGTCCCTCCCAACCCTTGCCATTCTGTGATTCTGTGTGATTCTGTGACTTTCCCCTCTAAGTCTGAGACAGAATCTGTTTGTCATACCATGAATGTAATTTTTTTCACCTAGGAACTGACCTTGATCAGGTTGCTGGAATAGTTGGGTTGGAAGAAATAATCTGCAGGACCTGCTTCATAAAATAGGCTCCTTTCTTAAAGGGGAGGAATTTACTTTCCCCAGTGTATTCTGTGGGTGTAAACTTTAATAAAAAACATTCTCTGTGCATGACTTAGGCACACCTGATGCATCGAGTAGGGCTTCTCATATGAGAAAAGCTCTGCTTGTTTAATCACAATAGTACTCATAGGGAGCCATAATTGTTACGCTGTTGTTTATAACTCATGTCAAAAGAATAATTTGAACAAAGTTCTTTTAGGAAATTAAGATTTCTTATTTATTTGGGAAAAGAAAACCAACAAAACTAAATTATTTTACTACTTACTGGCAAAGTCATTCTTGCTATATTACCTATTTTAAAACTCACATCTCATTCAATTAAGATTTCATACCATTGACAAAATGATGCTGTCCTGAAAAAAATATTGCAAGAGCTGCTATATACAAGCCCATAAATAAACTGAAAGATTTTCAGGCTTCAAAAGACTGAGGACAGGAAGAGATTGTTTAAAGATTCATTTGAGCATTTCTTATTCAGTACATTTGCTGCATTCAGTAACAACAACAGTACACTGAATCAAACAAAAAGAATGGATTTAGTTGGCAATGGAACACATATTTATACTTTGTGGGTTTTCATTAGTTTATCAAAACCAGAAGAAACCCCATCCCCAATCTAGTATTATAAATACAGTGTTGTAGCTCCTAACCTCATGTGACATAAACAACAAGATAAACTGCTTCATCAGAAGTAACGTTCAAAAGTTAAAGCATGGGATGCAGGTTATCCACACTGAATCTCAGTAGATACAGGATAATAAATGCTCCCTCAATATATAGTACATCTATGTCACATTCTAAAGTATAAAACCAAAATGTTTTTGTCTTACTATTTTTGGTGAACAATTTTAAAATACAGTATACCTGGATGAAAAACAGATTTGGCCCTTTATACTACTGCCATTTGTACATGGCATGTTTTTTTCAAACGGACCTTGGGTGGTGACATAGGTGACCAATATACATCAGCACAGGAGGAAATGCAGGCAATGAAAACTGTGTAGAAGGGAATAGTCTTAAAACCTAAGATTTGAAAAAAAAAAGGGGGGCTTTTATATGTCCTCTGGTTCATTCCTAGAACCATTTGTGCTATAATACAATGATTAAAAGAGAAACAATCAAGGAGGGTTTCAATCTATATCCATGGTCACAGTGTAAAAAAAACAACCAAAAACAACTAAACAAACCAAAACAACCAAAAAAACCAAAACCCACAACAAAACCCCACATGCTCCAGTATAAAAAAAATATGCTTAAATATGTTGTCTGCACACAATACAAACACTGAACTCTGTTATCACAGTACTGTCCTGTTACAATCTCTTCCATACATTCCAAGGGCTCCTTCTGCTGTGTCTTCTGGGGGGGGGGGGGGGGGGGAAGAGAAAAAAAGAGTCATTCTCAGGCCAAGAAAAGCCCATACCTTTGTACAGCTGTAAGACAGTCCAATGTAGAAAAGGCTAGGAAAAAACCATACACAAAAGCCAAAATAAAGGCATAGCCATTTAAAGCTTTAGCTTTTACTGACCTGCCCTTTCGAGTTAGCTGTCAACAACTTGAGTTACTTAGCAATAGGAAACACAAGAGTAGAAGCCTATATATTTCATGCATGTATATGTGTGATATGCAGTATGTCGCATTCTGCTCTGCTCCAGCTGCATAAATCCAGCATCTGCCTGGTGAAACTAAGAAAGATAATTTCTGTAGAATGTTTTAATTTGTAGCCACAGACAAACTTGGGTGGGCTGTGGGGTTTCAGGTTGGTGACCTTATCAACAAGTCTGGGCCAGGAAGGGGAGAGGGCACAGGGAAAGATTGATCCAAACTGAAACAGATCATTTTTTCTTAGTGAAAGACGAAAACATGGAGTAAATTTGCTTTGGATCAATCAAAAATGAAACGCATTGATGTTTTCTAAACTTTCAACTCCATTTCTTTTGGCTGAAAAAATTCACTGCATTCAGTCCTAATTGATGAATGTCTCCTGTTCCCTAAAGAGCAATTTACTTTTAGTTTCTTCTTCACAAATTTACTATCCAATAAACAATTTCCACCCTACACATTAGGGTGCAAATACCTTTTCTCTTGGAAATCAATAGCAGATATCTTGCTAGATTCACTGGTACCAGAAATGGTCTGAGCTGCTGAAGATACAAACCTTTAATTAAGAAAAAAAACCCCAACCAACACAAAACCTCTTAGCAAAAAATGAGATTGAAAACTGCATATTTCCTTCCTTTTGTAGGATTTTGATAGCCCAGTGTATTAGGAAAGCTGATTTCCTTGGTAATTCCTGCAAACCAGTATGCCTGGTGTGTTAGGGACACAGCTGCTGTAAACAAGGGAGAGCTGGGGATATGAACACATGGCTGCAAGGACATTCTGCAAAGGGGGCCTCATCTTTGGAAGTGGCTCTGGAGACCCTGGCTGCTGAGTAAATCCTAGCGCAAGACACATATTTAGGGGCTCTGAGCACCTCTGGGGCTTACAGTCTGCTCTACCCCCAGCTGGAAAGGTGCCTCACTGGCACGGCCACGATTGCACCCCCCTGTGCTCCAGACATCACTTCTGAGAACCTAGAGAACACTGGTCAAAAGAAAAATTACAGTGTTTCTTCGTCCTTAAAGATACTTCATAGCAGTACTAAAGCAGAAGCTATTAAGTGCTGAGCAGAGTTTAAAAACCACAAAAGACTCTGCAGAGACCTATTTAAAAGATGTCTGTAGGTAACAATACATAGACTTATTTGTAGTCTGGCTGCCTTCACAGTATATCATTGCGTTACATTTTTGTGGTTGGAATTCAGTGTCTCAATTTGACCAGTAAAAAGAGAAAGATAAGTCACAGTGCCAGGTTTTGATTTCCAAAAGCTACAAAGCTACAGCGCATTTGCGAAATGCACTTGATGGACAGTTGTTGATTGCATCCAAAAGCTTCCAGCAAAGCAATACAAATGCTTTGTATTGCGATATGTCAGCAGACACAAATCAGTGACAGAAACGCTGTGGACTGCTATAGGATGACCTTAGCCTTTTCTGTCTTTTATAGATACGATGTAAACAGGAATATCTAAAATACTAATAGGCCACGTACAGAAGGATTACATGTTACATACGCTGTTTATGAGCATAGAGACACATGTGTGTATTAGCTTTGCTAATTCTATGCCCATGCTGGGAGCTGAGCAGCTGGAACGTGCTTCTCCCTCAAGTCCTGGCTTCCTTGTAGCATTTAAATGAACGACCACACTATGTATTTTGAATAAGCTTCACTTCAATAATTGGATTCTGTAAGGTAATAAATGTAAACAGAGAGTGCACAGCAATACCAAAATAGCCCCATTACAACATCACAATGGGAAGCATTTCATTTTAGAGCATAAAAATCCATCTTTCCAGAGCTATGTTGCCTTTCCTCAGTTCTGGGAGCTGGAATGATTCAGATAGCACTAAGCCCTTTTTGCGTACCTAGTGTTTTCATCATTGCTGACAAAACCATCCAGTGTATACTTGTGCTGGTTATTTTTACAGATATTGCTAATAGCCAAGTGGTAGAACGTGTTACAGTTTCGAAGGCGAGCGGATAAGGGCTATTTACTCAACAAAACAATATGGCAATTTCCAATTTTTCAGGCAGTGATTAAAAAAGCAGTTTTCTACTGGCACTAACAGTGAGAAAAAACTGGTGGACACTGTGTCAGAGGTCCTGAATCTATGGCTTGGTTTTCACTGAGAAGCTGGTATTACTGTCAGACTGCTGATAAATCAATGCGGTTGGCTGAATTGGTGCTTTTATCCCAGGTATTCAGCTTCGTGGGGGTTGTGCCTGGCCTGTTCCCAGTCATCTAGAAAACAAAATAATATTGAAAATAGATTTGTTTATTTTGCTAAATCACTCTTGTCTGGATGAAATAAAAGCTTGAAAGCATCTATTTACATTACAGCCTTGTCACGGTGTCTTGAGAGCATATGCTATAAAGGATTTTTAAACAGTTATTGCCAGGATCTAAGGAGATTGGCAGCAATCACTTAATAGTACCTATCACTCAGAAGTCTGGTTCATTGTAAAAACAAATGTCTTTCACCTCAAGACTATTTAAGGAGAGCTAGAAAATCATATTCAGATTTTATTCCTCAGGCTTAAATGTAAAAGTGACCTATCAAAATCTCATCATCATCAGACAAATACATTGCCAAAATGCTGCTTGAATGCATAATAAGAAGTCCAGTACAATTGGTGGGAAGAGTCTCATTGAACCACACTCCAGAGGTCATAAACCTTTGTTTACTTTTATTTGATAGTTTACCAGAAAGTAGAATTTTGTCCTTTGCTTTCAAAACAGATATTGCAGCTGCAACTTAATACTTGCTGATTCCACCTGTCCACACCATGCATTAGGTTTGGTACTAAAACCACCCACATGCCTTCTTGTGTCCTGTTCTTTCTAACAGAATTTAACGTGGAACACTTTCAAGCACAATAGGGAAAAAAAAAAAGAAAGGTGGAATACTCACAATGTCTGAATTGAAGGGTTTTACATTGATGTTGCGAGTCGAACTACTGGTAAGGGACCAGACCTTGGTTTTGTGCTTAAAGGCAGCTCTAACCTTCAGGAAAAAAATGAAACCAAATAGAAGATTTCTTTTGAAAAAGTTGTGTCTATTTTCACAGGCGCAGCCTACAATCATTTCCCCATTATTCTTCCTCCACATTAACGTCACTGTACTAAAAACCAACAAACAATCCACCCCTACATTTTTCTTTATATTTATGATCTTATTTTAAAATGTAACTTTACTTTTCTAGTACCCATACTTTAAATACAAAGCTTTGTATAACTTCACTTATGTCTCATTTCATTGGCAACATGATCCTGTTATCTCAGTTATCCCGTCCTCCTAGATGTCCAAGATATGACTGTATTACCATTCATCTTGCTAAGAATAAAAAATAATAAAATCAAAAACCCCAAAACTGCAGCACATATAGGCATATCTCCTGGTTTCGGCTAGGATAGAGTTCATTTTTGTCCTAGTAGCTGGCATAGTGCTGTGCTTTGGATTTAGTACTAGAAGAATGTTGATAACACAGAAATGGTTTAGTTATTGCTGAGCAGGGCTTACACTAGGCAAGGACTTCTTCAGCTTCCCCTGCTCTGCCAGGGGCACAAGAAGCTGGGAGGGGGCACAGCTGACCCTCTATCAAGGCTTACTGGCTGGAAGTGATTGACCAGTGTTATGATGCTGTGATAAAGACCATCTTGTCAGGAGGAGCATAGTCTGCAAAACACACAAAGTCATCCCTCCTCCCTATTCTACACCAGCATGGCCTCCGTGACAGTACTGTGTCCAGCATCCCAGGAAAAACAGGGACCATCTGGAGGATCCAGCCCTGAAGAGATCAGTGAGGATGATCACAGGTCAAGCAAACGCACGTTATGAGAAGCTCAGGTTATTTAATCATAGAATGTTTTGGGTTGGAAGGGACCCCTAGAGGTCATCTAGTCCAACCCCCAAAATCAAAAGAGGAGGCAGGGGGAAGACAGGGTAAGTCTTGCAGTCTTCCCTTTCCTGTGGAGAGGAAAGGAATTGCCTACTCTTCATAAACCTAGTTGCTAAAACAGGAAATAAGAAGCTCAAACTGCTGTAAGAAAGATGAAAACTACAATTTAGGAGCAGCAATGGTGAGGCTAGCGAGGCACAGAGCCAGGTTGTCAAGGGAGGCCGAAGGGCTTCGATGACTGAGCTGTTGGGGTGACGCTGGTGCGCTGGCCGTGTGCTGCGGAAGAGGCTGCTCAGGTCCCTGGCAAAGCCTCTCTCCTGTGCTTCTGTATAATGAGCATGCATCTCTTGTCCAGGCACACTGGGAATAAAGTGCTCTTTTTTACCCAGCCACTTGGAAATATCTGCAGATTTCACCTTACAGTATCTGAGTTTTAATTCTATGGTGAGAATGAAATTCTCAAGAAGAATTCCCGCAGTTTAGCTGAAGTATTTAAAGATGCACAGAATGCGATGGAGCCAGTAAGACTTGCTCTCCAAAAATGGCAGTTCACATTAGCTATATATGAGCTGGTTTTTAGGAAACAAATTCTGAAAAGTTTCTGAATTTAATTGCTCATGAGGTTCCTGGAAAAATGGCAACAATTCAAATATTTGTATTTGATGTAAGGCATTTGAAGCTTGACAGCAGGAAGAAAGCTTTCTGAGCCTGGGGGAGAGCAGAATAAAGAAATATTTTTCCTCCTTACCTTTAACCTGCCTGCTTAACTTTAGTTGATTTCAATAAAGATCAAGAGTTTCACAGTCAGTACTGACTCTCCAAACTGATTGTAGCAAAGATCATATCAATGCTCTGAGACTGAATATGTTGGAAAACATTAATAAATAATAACATCTCCACAGAAGAGCTGGAGTGCTACTGTTGCATAGGAAGAAGCAGCAGGCTATGGGGCAGAGCTATTTAGCAGCATCCAGAAGAGCTATGGGAGAACCAAAGCTATGTGGGTGTGAGCAGTACCCCCTGTCAGCCTGCTGAAAGTGGTTTTCATAAGAAACTTTCGTTATAAGTAATACATGATGCCAAACATTTTCTGCTACCTGCCATGAGAGGAGAGGTGCTGCAAGCAAAGATGGTCTCCACATGCCCCATTTGCATCACCCTTGCCTTGGCTTTGCCCCAGTTGCTCTAAGACATCCTTATGCAGAAAGATGCCTCTTTGACCACTGTGAAAACCTGAAATTCGTGCCAAGAAAAATACCTGGAATATGTTCTACTCTGTTTGGTTTCCCATTAAGGATTGCACGAGCAACTTCCAAAAGTATGTTTTGCTGAGAATATTATTTATTTTCCTCTCTGGAACTGCAGATGTAGCAAAGCCAGAGGTGCCCCGATGGGGACTGCCAGAGCAAGTCCTGCTCCCACCATTTACCATCCTCCCTTAGCAGCACAGCCCATGCCCTGCTCAGCCCCTCCAGCCCTCAGGAGTGCTTCTTCCCTCAATCTTGAGCTGCCTGCTCTTATGTTTGGGTTTTTTTTTTTTAAAACCTTTCTTATGTTAAATAAAATAAATGCCAAGCATGGATCAAAATGCCGCAAGTCACAAAGTCACTAACAGTCATGTATTAATTGAAAGAAAAAAGAAAACAGTGGCATAGCAGGCAACGATAATGGAGAAAGCATTTTCTTGTTTTATACTCATGGTACTTGAATTTGGCAACACCACGTTTGTTAACACCATTTGGTTACATACCTCCGAGTTCAGAAGACAGTGAAACAGGAACATGAAAAATCCCTGAAAACAGGTAAGAGGGAGAAGGGTGAAGACTGACATACAATAATGTATTTCTCACAGTACTGGGTAAAGCAGGTATTGAGTAGCTAGAGATCTATCAATATCGAAGAGTGGGCCAAATTGTGCCCCATGTGAAACTGGAGAAACCCGCAGTATTAGGTTACTATGAGGCTTGTCTGGCCCTTTTCCTGCAAAACTGCACCTCCTAAACTTTGGGGTGCTGAAACAGAAATCTGACCAAAAAGCAGAAATTCTGTTTTCATGAGAACAAGAGAACTTTTTGTCTGCACTTGCACAGATAAAGGCAGAAGGAAATGCTCTTTGGGAAACACCAGATCAATATTTTTCACATTAGAAAACCAAGGTATTAGCATTAGAAAAATTTTCACAAAAGAATTTTGCTATCTTTGGGCTTTTTGTCCAATGGAAAGTGAAAAAGTCCCATCCCCTTTCCTTCCCCAAATAATTTTATTTTCTTTTGGGGGCTATTTAGCCAAAAATAATGGGGTTTTATTTGGGATGAAAATTGGAACTTTTCAACTTTCTGTTGAACTCTTTTTGTGACCATAGTGGTATTTGTTCCTGAGGCAATAAGGGATTTACAGGAGTTCATTTTTTCTTCCTCTTTGTAATCATTATTCGGGAAAGAATTATAACGCACCTATAGATTTATATCTCTACTGAAACATCCACTTAAAGCTAAGCAGATGCTTACATTCCTTCTTGGACAGAGCTATTTTTCTGGATTGGTGGCTTAATAAGACGAGGATCTAATTGGCTGCACACAAGAGTCACATGCTGGTTTCTGCAGCATGCAGAAGAGCTCCACTTTTCTCCTTGTGCCGCACCGTTCCCACAAACTTCTGTTTGCTTTCATTTAGTCACAGTAATGAAGCCTCAAACTGACATTGCAAAATTGTTCTGGTATTTCTGCTAAAGAATCTTGCCTGTGGTACATGGTGCTGGAAGAATGAATTTCATTTCTCAAGCTCACTGTCCCATTTATTTAATTATTGCTACTGGAAACACTAAGGAGCGTGCTAAAAGCTCTGTTCATACAGAAACTAAACAATTGCCAGCACTGTATGGTTGGCACAAACTTAAAAGTCAGAGGAAGGAGCGTAGAAAAAAAATCCAATAAACACAAGCATGTGAAAACATTACTAATGATCCATTTATTGGATCTCAGCAGCAGTTTGGTAGCCATAAACTTTCCCACCAGGTACTTACTTGTAGTGAATTGAAAACAGCAAATATATACTGAAATACTAATGCATGGGCATTGACAGCCAAAATCCCAAAAATCCATGAGCTTCCCAAGATTGGTAAGAGAACAGCGACGGCTTTAGCTGTTAGTCTGAAAGAGAAAACAAAAATAGGAAATGTGATGAGACAGTTAAACAAATTTCAGCCCCCACACCAGGGAGTTTAAGCAAGGCAGTGTGTGTATGGCTCTCTTTGCCATAAAACTCTTTTAATGGTCAAGTCTATCAATCACTCATTCCTCAACCATGAAAATGGGGGTAGCAGAACTTCGGTATCACATGGGATAAATACAGACTGAGAGTCAGTAACTGAGGGTGCAGGAGAAGAGATGGTGAGATGGTCCCATAACTACAGCAGCCGCATCTTCAGTTGTTAGGGAAGTATCATCACTTTGCCCGTGAGGAGTCAAGTGTAAGAGTCAAAAACAGAGGGCAGAAACTGAGGACGAAGGCAGCATCACATGGAAAAACTAAAACTACTGCATAGTATAACCGAAATACATTTGCTCAGCACTATATTTGAGTCAAGACAACATGATATTTCTCTTATAGAAAGTGACTTGGGATTTTTAATCACCACAAATGGGAAGAAACACAATGCACCTCTGCAAAATGTAGATCCTCTAACACCGCAGTATTATTCTGGTACCACCCTGCTTTGTTCAGAGTCGATTCAGAGAAACATATGCCAAATATTGAAATAGCCTGTGTTTCTTGGAGGTCCCTACTGATATATGTTCACTCTGCTTAACTTGGAGTACTTAGCAGAATTTCAATAAAAGGTGATATGACAGCTGAAAAGCTAATAGAACTGAGAAAATAAGAGGGATTTGGGGAGGTTGCCTTAATAAGCTATGTACAATATGTTTGTTTTAGTAGCAGTTGAAAAGAAATTGTGGTATACCAGAGACTTACATGATCACAGAAAGTTTTCTGCAGCAGCTAAATTCTGCGGACCAAATTTTATATAAAGAGTAAATGAAGGGAATCACAGAGAAAACAAAGGCATGGTGTTTAGAATTGTAAGATCCCAGTTACGTCTCTTCAGTGTATTCATAGCCTTCTACATTAAAGACCAAAGAACCATGCCCTTTCTACAAGGAGCTCATTTCCTTCATCTGCAACAGGGCTCGAGGGCAGCCCAACCTCACAGAGCACTCAGGACCCCGTAGAAGAGGCACTGTCAATTCCTGCACCCACTTTCTGCTTTGATGTAAACATTGCTAGTATCGTTCTCTGCCACCGAACACTACTCAGCCACTTCCAAGAAAGACAGCTACAGCTGACGAATTTTAACTCACAAAGATTATTGCTTATCCCACACAATTGTTTTCTCCTTATGAAGCCCTCAAAGCATCATCCCTGATTCATGCTAATGAATTGCTCTAAAGAATTGTGCTTTTGTGTCTGCGTATACCCTGCAATATTGACTTCAAGAGCGTAGTAGTAATAGCCCTGTTGAGT